TTTTTGCATCTGAAATTGATATGATTTTTGGAGATGGAGTTGGGCGGTCCCTTGTAGAAGGCCTCAATAATCTGGCTGAAGGGTTTACAAAAATCAGTATCTAGGGGGGGGGACTTTTTGAGAAGAGGATTCTTTTTGTGACTCTGAGTGGACCCTGAGAGACCCACTTAGCATATGTTTGTTTTGTACTGGGCTTGTGCTTCGCCGTTTTGAGGATGAAAATTCATTGCTCTGGCCGGAGGAGCTGTACGTCGTTGATCGTCGTTTGTTCGTTTTTATTGCCAAATCTGAAAAGGGAAAAAAGGTGCGCGACGCAGTCAACTAAACTAATTTGAATGATAACGTTCCCTTGCCTTCTGCCCTGAAGGCTGATGGCAGATCATTGTGGACTGGAAGGTTAGTTTCTTTCTTTGCAGTTAATTGTGGTTGCCCAACATAGACGAAAGTGGCCATGTGATGTCGATCCTCAGCCTGTCTGAGAGAAAGCGTGCCTCTGGCCCGCTGGCTTTGGTCAACCTCGATCTTTTATTATTGGGGAGTTCTGCTCCGGCTGGTCGATGTTCGACTTTGGAATTTGGTTGGGAACCCCCCTCTTTCTAATTCGCTATATAGTGTTTACCTGGTTTTATGTGGGGAACATTAGTTTGATGGAGGTCTATTGGTAGGTTTGATTGGCCAACACACGATGTTTGGACCGGGCTGGTACATATCGGTTGTGTTAGATGTAAAACCACTTACCTAACTTGCTTTGGCACCATGCCGAAAAAAACTGAACACGCTTGGGGCAGTTTTTTTTTGTGGGGTATGTATATGTTCACGTGTCTACAACATTCCTTGATTTGGCGCTTGAAGCAACGGAAACCATGTTGTGAACACAAGGGGTTTGGACGTCCAACACGCACGAGGACAAACAAAATTCGCATGTCACCACATGTTTGGACACGCACGATCTCCGCAGATGGTCATGTTTCGATGGACGCGGCCTGGCTGCCCTTGCCGCCAAAAGAGAAAAATTGGAACTCGAAATTGAGATGTTTGGTGCGAATTTTTTAGGCGTTCTGATAGAAATTGATCATTGATAACCTACAAGTCAATTCTTGTGTAGACGACATGGTAGGAGTTTCGGAGGAGATGCTTACAAATTGATCATTTAAAAATCAATGGGCGAATGGCATCGTACCATTTTGGCAGGAATTGCTGAGAGATTGACCACCGACAAACCAACACCTGGGCAAATAACATTGTAAACTTGTAAACAAATTGAGGACTTACCGAAAAATTGACATACATGCATGAAACTTCGTGATGAGGTAGGTGATGTAGATGACGCAACTGATGTTGATGATGTAGGTCATGCAGGCGAAGTAGATGATGTGGATGATGATGATGAGGATGAGGATGATCATGCTGATGAGGACGAGGATGGTGAGGATGATGATGACAATGATGGCGGTAGTGGCAGTGATAATGATGTTGATGATTGTACTACTGCTGATGATGATGATGATGCTGATGATGATGATGATGGACTTGATGTAGATGACGTAAAAAAAAGTGATGTTAAGATTGATTTTGGCAGGAATTGTTGTGGAAAACCCTTTCGCAAAATGTTTTCGGGAAAAAACGATATGGTTCCCAAATGTTGAGAACCTTGAGTGTTCTATTTTATATATTTTAATGTGTGTGTGTGTTTTCGTCTAGGTAAACTAGACAACGGATGGCCCGAGAGCGTAGAGGAGCAGGGTCTTCTGTTGTTAGTATGGAGACACTATATTAAAGATGTATTATAGGCAGACGAGAAGAGTAGTATCAAGACAATATATGACTAGTACAAGACAATAGTTTGCATCGTATTTTTGTAAAGTTTTTCATGTTTTTCATACACAGAACTTTTTACAGACAGACGCTTTTGCACACAGAGACTTTTACACACAGAGACTTTAACACACAGAGATTTTTACACACAGACGCTTTTACACACAGACGATTTTGCACACAAACACTTTTACACACAAACACTTTTACACACAGAGACTTTTGCACACACAGACGTTTTTACACACAGAAGCTTTTACACACAGAAGCTTTTACACACAGACGCTTTTACACACAGACGCTTTTACACACAGACGCTTGTTACACATAGGCTCTTTTACACACAGACACTTTTACACACAGACGCTTTTGCACACAGAGACTTTTACACACAGAGACTTTTACACACAGAGACTTTTACACACAGACGCTTTTACACACAGACGATTTTGCACACAAACACTTTTACACACAAACACTTTTACACACAGACGCTTTTACACAGACGCTTTTACACACAGAAGCTTTTACACACAGAAGCTTTTACACACAGACGCTTTTACACACAGACGCTTTTACACACAGACGCTTTTACACACAAACACTTTTACACACAAACGCTTTTACACACAGACGCTTGGACACACAGACGCTTTTACACACAGAGGCTTTTACACACAGACGCTTTTACACACAGAGACTTTTACACACACAGACGCTTTTACACACAGAGCCTTTTACACACAGACGCTTTTACACACAGACGCTTTTACACAGAGACGCTTTTACACACAGACACTTTTACACACAAACGCTTTTACACACAGACGCTTGGACACACAGACGCTTTTACACACAGAGGCTTTTACACACAGACGCTTTTACACACAGAGACTTTTACACACACACAGACGCTTTTACACACAGAGCCTTTTACACACAGACGCTTTTACACACAGACGCTTTTACACACAGACGCTTTTTACACACAGGCTCTTTCACACACAGAGACTTTTACACACAGAGGCTTTTACCCGCAGAGACTTTTACACACAGACGCTTTTACACACAGACGCTTTTACACACAGACGCTTTTACACACAGACGCTTTTACACACAGACGCTTGTTACACATAGGCTCTTTTACACACAGACACTTTTACACACAGACGCTTTTACACACAGACGCTTTTACACACAGACGCTTTTACACACAGACGCTTTTACACACAGACGCTTTTACACACAGAGGCTTTTACACACAAACACTTTTACACACAAACGCTTTTACATACAGACGCTTTTACACACAGACGCTTTGACACACAGACGCTTTTACACACAGACGCTTTTGCACACAGTCTTTTACACACAGACGCTTTTACACACAGACGCTTTTACACACAGACGCTTTGACACACAGACGCTTTGACACACAGAGGCTTTTACACACAAACACTTTTACACACAAACACTTTTACACACAGACGCTTTTACACACAAACGCTTTTACACACAGACGCTTTGACACACAGACGCTTTTACACACAGACGGACGCTTTTACACACAGAAGCTTTTACACACAAGTAAAATCGCAATTTTTCCCCAGTTTTTGACGATCGACCCTCATTTCGTGCGAAAGGGTTGCTCCGGCACAAGTAAAATCGCAATTTTTCCTCAGTTTTTGACGATCGACCCTCATTTCGTGCGAAAGGGTTGCTCCGGCACAAGTAAATCGCAATTTTTCCTCAGTTTTTGACGATCGACCCTCATTTCGTGCGAAAGGGTTGCTCCGGGGCAAGTCAAATCGCAATTTTACCTCAGTTTTTGACGATCGACCCTCATTTCGTGCGAAAGGGTTGACGTTTCGTGACTCACCGCCGGTACCACCCTCGGCCTAAAGAGAGAAAGATAAAGAAGGCGAGAGAGAGAAAAAGGAGAGAGAAAGGAGAGAGAGAAAGGAGAGAGAGTGAGAGAGAGAGAAGATGTGAAGATGAGAAGGTGTGAGAGAAGGTGTGAGAGAAGGTGTGAGAGAAGGTGTGAAGATGAGAAGGTGTGAAGATGAGAAGGTGTGAGAGAAGGTGTGAAGATGAGAAGGTGTGAAGATGAGAAGGTGTGAGAGAAGATGTGAAGATGAGAAGGTGTGAGAGAAGATGTGAAGATGAGAAGGTGTGAGAGAAGATGTGAAGATGAGAAGGTGTGAAGATGAGAAGGGGTGAGAGAAGATGTGAAGATGAGAAGGTGTGAGAGAAGATGTGAAGATGAGAAGGTGTGAGAGAAGATGTGAAGATGAGACGGTGTGAGAGAAGATGTGAAGATGAGAAGGTGTGAAGATGAGAAGTTGTGAGAGAAGAACTGAAGATGAGAAGGTGTGAGAGAAGGGTGTGAAGATGAGAAGGTGTGAAGATGAGAAGGTGTGAGAGAAGATGTGAATGTGAGAAGGTGTGAGAGAAGATGTGAAGATGAGAAGGTGTGAAAATGAGAAGATGAGATACAGACCTCCACTATTGGAAGAACCCTGCGCTCAGACGCTCTCGGGAAAAATGTTCAATTTCAAAACTTTGAAATATTGCAAATACCGGTTTTAACATATGGAAGGGAAACATCACAAATACGAGTGTTTTCCAGGAACACCTTAGTTTGCAATTTTTGTTCTTTGAGGCAAACAAAAAAAGGTGATGAACTCGTGTTTTCCGTTGTTGTCACGTCATTTGCGTGTTTAAAAAAAATGGTGAATGCGAAACAAAGTTCGTTTTGTGTCACAGACCCATTTACACAACATGTTTTGTGAATTGATTTTCGTTTCCAATTTATGTTCTTGTATTTTTTGGTGTGAAATCCTGATAGGTGCCCATGTGACAAACATCGCATTTGATTACCTTGGGCCATGGGTTTGACATTGGTCTTGGTTTGTTTTTTTAAATTTGGTTCAGCAATGTTCAGCAAAAACATGTTTGAATTTGCTGCCGCCAAAAAAACGGTGAAGGCGACTTCATCTAGGGAAGGAAAAAAACAAAACAACAATCCACAACAATTCAATTTTGTTTCAGCCAAATAATTAACCACTGTTTCAACATGTCCGTTCGCGCACAAGTGTTCGAATCAGATATGTTGTTTATTTTGATTTGTGCCATGTCATATTGCACTGTTCTATTGCATTACATCCATCTTGTTTCCAGCAAATAATTCTCTTTGCAACATGCCTTGAACCATGGCCGTGCATGGTGACAATGAAGCGCTTCCAGACGCCTATCAGTTGGAACAATTCTTCAGGGGTGGAAGGCGGCCGGCCAATGCTCCAACCGCTCTTACAACGTGGTAGACACAGACTGCCTCGGGTCAGCAAAATGTTTTGTAATTGCACACGTGAATTGGCAATCATCCTCTGTATTTCTGATGGCATTGCTGGTTCCACATTATTGGCCTGAAAATTGGATGGCTGAGTAATCAGCATAAACGGCAAATCATGTCCACAAACCAAAAGAGGATGGTATTTCTTATATAGTTGGAGTTTGGCATTTGGAACATGACATAACACACCCATACACAACCAGATCTTGTCAAAATGTATCAGCAACACTTTTTGCCAGGTCAGGGTCAACCTCGTGCACTTCTGAAATACAACTCCAGCATTTGAGAGGAGATGGTGGACGGCCGCTCAACACTGAGACAAGAAACGATGAAGTGCAACCGGGCAGCATCATCTTTTGTCCATGACAAATGACATTGGAATGACATTGGAATGGCATTGGAATGACATCGTTGATTTGCAAATTGTGCGTGTGCAACACGGAACCATGCCTTGTAGATAAAAAAACAATAAACCAGTCTGAATGAAACTGTGAAATTTCGCTTTTGACAGACGGTTTATTGTAATGGATCGGTTGCAGGTCTGTGCAATATTGGCAGCTATTCATGGCAAATGGGCTCTTCACGCCCCTTAGTCCAGGTTGAATCTTCCCGTGCATCGTGAATCAACAATTAGTCGAGAGGCTGGTGGATCTGGTGGCCTGGTGAGCCGGACTGGTGAGCCGGATCAAAATTGATCTGATGGACAAATTCTGAGGGATGCCTAATTTCAAATTGATTTGTCAGTTTGTTTCGTTTCGTTTTCCAACACACATTAATGACTTTGTGCGAATGTTGGAAACAACTTTGGTCTGCCCCCTGTGCTACGCAGGTTGAAGGACTGCAGTGGTTTGAAGGTGCCCAAGAAACTGCAACGTCAACGGCGTCACTGAAGCTTTGGTAAGCAACGCCGGGTTCGACTGGGTTCGATGCAGGTGGAAAATGGACGAAGATGGATAGGCCCATGTCCAGTTTTCACCGTTTTTAACTGGGATTGGGCCCATGTCCAGTTCAGCATGCGGGTTTCCCCAGTGAACCTCCAGGGGATGGTTTATACGAGCTACACTAACTGTTGTGCCTTTTGAAACTTCTGGTGTGACTCAGTGAAGGCTGAACTTTGACCTGTTTCAGCCATGGAACTGTAAACGGCGACGGCAGAATGGACTTGATACTTACAAGACCCTGTGTTTGGAGAGAGGGTCGACATTTGGGATGTAGAATTTTCAATTTCACTTTGGATTTTCAATGATGATGATGATGATGATGATGGTGGTGGTGGTGGTGGTGGTGATGATGGTGGTGATGATGATGATGATGATGACTTGACATTTTTCCGATTCATCAAGAAACAGTGGATGGATCTTCAAAGTCGCCTGAGGACACCGAGTTGCACCAGTCTGGTGTTGGTATGTGCATTGAGAGGGGTGCCCCGCAAATGGTGGGTGGGCCAGGCTGACACATAGAATTTGCATGTTGTCATTACGTTCTGTGCATCCCCAGAAGCCTCCGAAAGCCCAGAGAATATTTGGAATCGCACTTGTGGCACTTGAGCATACTTGAGCATTGTCATGCAGCATTGTTGCGCAATGTTGGGGCATGTTACAAACCTGTTTCAAGCAGTCGGAAGGGTACCAGTTCACCACCTCGGGGATTTTCAGCGCCAGGTGCCACTTTGGATGCCCATGACGTTCACGACGCCAATTTTCATCTCGCAATTTTGTGTGGCTCGGCAGAAAATCAATGGCGCAGTCTTTGTTTCGGCCAGGTCGATACTCGAAGATGATGAATCCATCCAAGTTTTCATGAACGGTTCAATGTGGCAAATTCCAATAAGAAAACCCACCTTGGGAAAGACAGTAGTACTCAGTAGGATATGTCTCCACTTTGAAGCATTATATACAGTAGAACATGTATGACATAAAATGCAAAATTGCAGTGGATAAGTTCAGGTCATGTAGTTCTTAGAAACAATGTTTTTTCCCTTTTGTGTGGCAAACATCACGAAAATTGGAAATATATTGTTTTGAAACTACTGTAGTGTTTCCATATGATTATGGTACAGTACCAGTACCAAATTCTTTGAAAGGAATGCGTCATCTTTGAAAGCACAATCATCTTAATTCATCTACAAGGCCTATTTCAGTTCGAAAAAGTAAGGACGCTCCCTGGTGTTTTCAACAGGTTGTGGATATGTCCAATAGATTGGTTACCCTTGATGCAGTGTCATCAGTGTATTCAACCAAAAGTCCATCACACAACCTGATGCTAATACTGTATCTTGTTTGTAGCCAGGAGGTATCGCACCGCACCAATGCCCTGCCATGGTGCAATTTGTCACAGTTGAAATTCTATGTATTCTAATTGGTTGTGGAAGAGCATGTAATGTTACATGAACAAGACTTGCAGTTTGAGTTGCACAGCACAGCAATTGTCCAAAGAGGAATATGTAATCCATGCCATGTATTAAGTCTTGCACCTTTGCTACATTTCCAGCAAGTATATAATGCTCTGAAGAGATGACATTCTTCAAAGAAGTCCAGTTTTCCTCACAAATATGCAGTATACCATTAAACAGTTTTCACTTGTAAACTGATGGTTGCTTTGAGCAAGCGCAGAACTTTTTAAGGAAAAAAACTCGCTTTGAAGGTTGAAATATTTTTTTGACAAAGACACTAGTTCTCTACAATGTGCATTGTACTGTAAGTACAGTATTCATGTCTCCCTTTTTCATGATGGACATATTTCCTCATACAGATGCATTTTCCTTCAAGGAAAAATACTTCGCTTAAAGCTGCAGTCATTTGTTTAAACGACAGACACAATATTTTGCAAAATATGAAGTGTATAGTGTTGCAGAATATGAAATATGTCTACTAAAGAAGTAATACTCCCTTCAAAGCTCAGCTCTTATCTATGTTGAAGGTAACACCATTTCTTCAAAGGATAATGCCGTCACACTTCTTTCAAAAAAATCGAGCTGGCCTGTGGAAAATAGCATCATTTCTTTGAACAGTCCTTTCCTTTGAAAATGCATCCCATTCATTTGAAGGAAATGCTTCACTCACCAAAAAAGAAACAGAAGCCCCTCATGGGGGAGTGATTTTTGCTCCAAAAAAGGTCAAACATACTGGTATTTACAGTGTTTTGTGACCAAAGTAGGCTTAAAACCGTTATTTTAGAGCAAAACATAGAGTTCACCTCCAAAGGCTATCATATGCTGTCAAAAATCACTGGCATCTACAGACTCTTGTGACAGGATTCAATTTTTCCTGTGAGGCTTGCAAAGAACTACAAACAATCAGCACATAACAGAAAACATCTGCTGCACAGCATGCCAGAAGAATGGGTAGCTGCGCATCTTGGAACAGAATATACAGTAGCAATAGGTGACTAGTGTGATACAGGTGATGGAGAAATTCTATTGCTAGAAGCAATTGATATGATATAGCTGTTTCTTCATGAACTTGTTAGATTGATATCATCTCAACATACATTGTATATAGAAGCATTTGCGCTACATAAGAAGTATGGTGGGAAGGGCATACATTATGTAGGTGGATATACACAAGCACATCTAACACTCTGGATAAGAAGGATGGTGGGAATGTTACAACTCAAGAAGTAGGTACATATCTTGTTTATCATTGTTATCTTGCAGAGTCTTGTCAGCAGTCTCATTTCAATAGTTAGAGAGAGAGAGAGAGAGAAAGCCAGAGAGACAGAGAAGTGTGTCATGCTGTTGACTAATAAGATCAGGCAACCTGTGTGGTGGCATAGCTGTTCAAAGATAATGGCATGTTTGCTTCTTTGACACAGCAGTTTAAAATATGGCCCAGATCCAAACATACACAATCTAGAGTCACCAAAACCTGCAAGGCACCAAAAAAATCAAAAAACTAAAATTTCCAGGAACTATGGGTCCACTTGTGAGTAGTTGCTGGAATTTTTGTTTTTCTGTTTTTTTTTGGTGCCTGTCGATGTTTGGTGCATCTAGTGGTTTGTTTTTTGTGGTGCCTGTCAATGTTTCGTGAAGTCAAAGTCACCAAACCTGCACAGGCACCAAAAAAACCAAACCACTAGATGCACCAAACCTGCACAGGCACCAACAAAAACAAAAAAAACTAAAATTTCCAGGATTTATGGGTCCACTCCTGAATAGTTGCAGTTTTTTTTTGTTTTTTTTGGTGCCTGTCAATGTTTTGTGAAGTCAGAGTCACCAAACCTTCACAGGCACCAAAAAACAAAAAAAAACAAACCACTAGATGCACCAAACTTGCACAGGCACCAAAAAAAACTAAAATTTCCAGGATTTATGGGTCCACTCCTGAGTAGTTGCAGTTTTTTTTGTTTTTTTTGGTGCCTGTCAATGTTTCGTGAAGTCAGAGTCACCAAACCTGCACAGGCACCAAAAAAACCAAACCACTAGATGCACCAAACCTGCACAGGCACCAACAAAAACAAAAAAAACTAAAATTTCCAGGATTTATGGGTCCACTCCTGAGTAGTTGCAGTTTTTTTTTGTTTTTTTTGGTGCCTGTCGATGTTTGGTGCATCTAGTGGTTTGTGGTTTGTTTTTTTTGTTTTTTTCGGTGCCTGTGAATGTTTTTGTATATCTCCTGTCAAGATCATAATTAAAAGAATGCGTTTTACCAGGGTTTTAGACCCTCCACATGCATAAATCATCGGTATTTACAGTGTTTTATCATCATTTTTAATGACAATTCACTCCCCCACGGGGTGCCGCCCTCAAAAGAAAATGGTCTCAGTTGTCCTCTATGTTTGAAAGTAGCATCAATTCTTTGACAAGAACGTGATACTCCTTTTAAAGAAACCCAATTATATACCTTTTATTTGGAAGGACCACCATTGAATTGAAGGAGGTGATTCACTCAGCACACGAACAAAATTGCACCACCCCAAAGAATACTGCGCATGTTTATCATACAACCATTTTTTTGCATTTTTTTGAGGAATGGTGTGTAAAGAATGCATTGATAAATACAGTACATGATGGCTTAGAAGCAAGATGATTCAGATTTGGTTTGGATTAATCCTAAGGTTCAGACTAGTCTGGAAAGCATTTTCTTTTTGTTTGAAAAACAAAAGAAACAAAAAACTGTTTTGGGGGGCTACTTGGATCTAGCCACGTTCAGACTAGTCTGGAAAACATTTTCTTTTTGTTTGAAAATCAAAAGGAACAAACAAAATGTTTTTGGGGGCTACTTGGATCTAGCCATGTTCAGACTAGTCTGGAAAACATTTTCTTTTTGTTTTCAAACAACAAAAAAACTGTTTTGGGGGGCTACTTGGATCTAGCCATGTTCAGAAAACATTTTCTTTTTGTTTGAAAAACAACAGAAACAAAAAACAATGTTTTGGGGGGCTACTTGGATCTTCAGACTAGTCTGGATTTTTTTTTCGTTTTTGTGTGTGGTTTCAACCAATGTAATTAAGCTGTATTTCCAGTAGAAAAGGCTTGTGCATGGACAACATACAACCAGAATTACTTGGACTTGACCTTTTTTGACTCTATCCAGGTGTTGTACATAGTGTCCTTTGCATCCCCACAGTACTTGTTCGCGTCCCTGGGCTGGCAAGAGTGTTGAAACTGTGACCATCAAGGCCAAGAGGCCACGATTTTGGGGTGCCAAAGTGGAGATCCAACTATGTTTGAAAATCTACCGGAACATTGACATGATGGTTGAAGACTGTTCTTCCATTTCAAGAAAGGAAAACATGGATGCTTTTTGATTCTACAAGAGAATCGCCGATGATCAGCGTTGGTTCCCGGTGTTTTATTTTTTCTCCATCGGCAGTTCCGGCAGTGCGGCCAGGTCGGGTGCCTGGCTGGTTCCGAATTCGAGCTCCAGCAGCCTCAATGTGATGAAGACCTTTGCCACCCTGCTGATGCTGGGGCAGATTGCGGAGGAGTTCCACGAGATCAGCCGCTCGGAGCAAAGGATGTGGGGCTCGGAGGTTGGAACTTCTCAGATGTTTGAAGGTGTTATCATATGTTATCATATTATGTTATCGCTATTTAACATTATTTAACTATACTGAATCTCTGTGAATGATCTTGAAACATATTGAACCACAAATGACGCAGGATGCAAGTGCCTGACGCCCAGCTGTGCCACCAGGTGAGTCGATGAAGGTCCTGCGGCGCAGCAGATTGAGCTACTCCTCAAGGGCCAAAGTGAATTGTTGTTGGGGAGCCATTGGTGCTCAGCGCCTTGGCCACGTGGCCCCGTCCACGTCTGCTTTGGGTCGATGTCTTTGGTTTTTTGGTTGTCGGCAGGATTGTCCGGAAGGTGGGGATCTCAGTTCGGCCAATTCATGCTGTTTAGCTTATGTTTTTTTTAGCCAGAACCCAAAAGGGGGGAGAAACCCAGCCTTTTGTGCAAACACACGGCTATCTCGAGGCTATATCAATTCCGGTATAGGGCGAGTTGAGAGTCAGCTCCAGTTCTGCTGAACTCTCTGCTGCGGGTTGGAAATTCTGGTAGGGAGACCACCGAGACTCAGGTACATCCTCGCGCTGATGGTCATGGTTGCCTCGGCGCACCTGATTTTGAGCCGCCAAAACCCCATTGAACCGCTCTGGATGACCTACTATGTCTTCATGACCTTGAACTTTGACAACATGCAGCGCGGCCATACTGGAGCCAAATTCGGTTTGGTTTTGGAAGATCCTTAAAACGACACAATATTGTTGATCCTCCGACATGTAATTAGAGAAAGGATGACGACCAGAGACATGCCTTGAGTTGAATCTTTGAAGTCAAAACCAACCGTTTGTGCCAGAAGAAGTCAGCCGAACTTACCACGTGGTTCTCAAATGGTTGTGCTCCGGACTCTGGTAGAAATTCACATTGAATGGTCGAGACTATTCAATCTTTATCAATCTTCCCATGTTCGACCGCCCCGATGCCAAGGTTGGTCAAATTCATCATGTACGTCCGCACCATGCAACGTTCAACGACCTGGAAGGTTTCAATTCTGGAGCCTGACACGCCAAGCTCCCAGAAGCGCACCCAGAGGAAGGGACAGCAGTGGCACTGGGGGACCAAACGAGTTCTGCAGTTTTGGTGTTTTGCTGCCTCATTTCGTTACAACTCTCCCTATAAAGGATGGTGGAGCCACATTTTCTGTCTGTGAAAGCGAAGATGATGATAGTTTCAACAGTGTCCTTTTTGGTGCTTTGCTTGAACTACTTAAACCCATTATATATATATGTATGTATCTCTTGCAAGCGTAAGAACTGATTTTGTAAAGGAAAGCAACATATGCGTTTGAAGCTCAAAGTTGTTGTTGACTAAGTTTGAATTTTGCAAACATTTGCACATGTCAGAAATGGGCGCTCAGCAAATGTGAAAGGAGGGACTGCGCCCAAAGTGTTGTGGTTCTCTGGATTCCTTTGGTTCTCGCAGCTTCTGTCACCGTTTTCTCAAGAGTGTCTTGGCAGCAGCAAGGGCAGATAAGGGAAGCGTTGCTTGGAAAAAAGCCAGTCTGCATGGCACTGCATGGGAAAGGATTTTTGTTCCCCAGATAATTTTGAACTAGAGTCAGGTTGGCAGCCCGAACTTGGCAGTGTGTCCAGCTTGTCTCACAGCTTAATTCCCATCATTGTCTCCCTACGTGGCCCAAAGTTCGGCTTGGCTGTTCTGTTGTTTTCCACCGTGTTTTCCACCGTGGTGCTCTCAACTTCCTTTTGCCCAGGTCGATGGTGTAATGTTGAGTTGATCTCGCTTGACCGATGAAATCACTGCTGTTTTGTTGACTGGTTGATCTACGTGGGAATCTGGGTCAAGCCATGTCAAGCCAGGCAGTACAAAAAACCGAACGAAGTTTTTGGTTATGCCATGCTTATGCGATCCATTCCATGGCCATTTTGGTTGGAGGTCTTCAACGTGCTTCCGATGACGTTCCTTCGCTACGGCTATGTTTCCAACCATCGGCCAGTGGTCACCAGATAGCAGTGGCCAAAACCCTGGTGACACCCAGAAAACATGGGCTCAAAGTACCTGGGTTTACAGGAACACTTACAGTTACATGTTGAAATTCCATAAACCATAACCAGCCCGCAATAGCCCTAGAAGGATTTATATGCCCCTTGTTTATAAGTAGCTGAGGCATTCAGACATTTGTAAACCTGTCTTGGAGGGCAAGTGGTTTTCTCCTCAACTCAAGTGAAACAGGAGGATTTGACTCCCAAGTCCAATGCCACTCTGAAGTATTTGTACCTGCAACAGCTAAAATCACATTGAAACTCAATTTACAGCTTAAAAAGGTTAAACGTATTAAACTCATTTTCCAAGCCATATTTTTGGGGCTCTACGTTGCTTTTTTTGGATAGACATTGCAGTAGGGGAATTGATAGCCGCATGTGCAGTTTTGTTCTGTCAATAAGAGGAAATCCTAAGTTGCGAAGTATTTGACTGTTTCGCTTGGGATCCTTATAGCGGAATCATGGATTTTTTGTGCACCCCGCTAGGGTTGCGGACCTCGTCAGTGCCGCCCTATTCGGATGTGCGGTGTAGGTGATGTTCTCCTCTCTATCCTTGCCGGCGGGCTGCTGTCCTGCTGTGGCCTCCATCAATAGCACTGCCTCTGGTTTCACTGGGGATGATGGTGTGAGTGTCAGCTGCTTGGTTGAAACCCAGTAAAGCTTTGAACATGAAACGTTGCCTGCTACTGGTACTGAACTTTTTTTGGATAAACTGATAAACTCATAAGCATGGTCACCATCGCCACTCCTCACTACTATCATCCTGCTGCTGATGATGATGGTGATGACGGTGATGACGATGAGGATGATGAGGATGATGCAAAAGGATGAATCATTTAGTTGCTAAGGATCATTATCATGTTTCCTACAGTCCCAACGCAGTCAGTGCCCAGAGGCGTCCCGTGTTTGGCGCGAGACGCTCCTGAAGATCTGGGTCCTCCACCCATGGTGTCTCTGGGTTGCGCCCAGCGCTAAGTCATGATGTCACTTCCTAATGGCTTGTTGGAATCACCCATTTTCAATCAACAAACCATCAATCTATTGGGGTTTAATGGGATTGAATGGGATATATCCATTCATACTGGGATGTAATGGTATATATGTACTTATATATATATATGTTGGGATTTGTATAAGGAGGGCTATTTACTCTTTTTTTTTGTCTGCAGTTTTTTTTTTTTTGCGGGGGTTCCTGGTTCTATGCTTTCCTGCTTCTTTGCTTTTCTGCTTTTCCTGCTTTTCTGCTTGTCTAGTTCTCTGGTTGTCTAGTTCTCTGCTTTTCTGCTTTTCTGCTTTTCCTGCTTCTCTGCTTGTCTACTTCTCTGCTTTTCTGCTTTTCCTGCTTCTCTTCTTGTCTACTTCTCTGCTTTTCATGCTTCTCTCCTTCTCTGCTTTTTGCTTTTCCCGCTTTTTGCTTTTCCTGCCTCTCTGCTTCTCTGCTTTAACTAACTGCTTCTTTTCTTTTCTGCTTCTCTGCTTTCCCTGCTTCTCTGCTTCTCTGCTTTTCTGCTTTTGTGCTTCTGTGCCTTTCTACTTCTACTATTCTACTTTTTCTTTTCTTCAGTCATGTGTTTTTGCTGCTCTACTTCCTGCTCCTCTGCTTCTCTGCTTCCTGTCTTTCCTGCCTCTTTTCTTTCTTTTGCTTTATTCTCCCCTGTTTGTATCCTAAATGAAACCCTAAAGACCCTAGGTGAAACCCAAAGAAACCCTAAAGAAATCCTGACAAGAACTCCTGATAAGAAACCCCTACATGAAACATTAAATGAACCCTAAAGACACCATAAATTAACCTTAAAGAAACCATAAATGAAACCCTAAAGAAACTTTAAATGAAACCCTAAATGGCATCCTGAAGAAACCCTAAACAACACTCTAAAAAACCCTGAATGAAACCCTAAAGGAAACCCAAACTGAAACTCTGAAGAACCGTAAACGAAACCCTAAATGAAAGCCTAAATGAACCCCTAAAGAAACCCTAAAGAAACCCTACATGAAACCCGAATTGAAATCCTAAAGAAGCCCTAAAGAAACCCACATGAACGTTTGAAAATCGTGATGAGAAATCCTGATAAGAAACCCTACATGCTAAATGACAGCCTAAATGAAACCCTAAAGAATCCGTAAATCAAACGCTACATGAAACCATACAGAAACCCTAAAGAAACTCTAAATGAAACCCTAAAGAAGCCCTAAATCAAACCTAAAGAAACCCTAAATGAAACCCTAAAGAATCCCTAAATGAAATCCTACATGAAACCCTAAAGAAGCCCTAAAGAAACCCACATGAACGTTTGAAAATCCTGATAAGAAGTACTGATAAGACACCCTACATGAAACCCTAAATGAACCCCTAAAGAAACCCTAAATGAAACGCTAAATGAACCCCTAAAGAAACCCTAAATGAAACCTTAAATGAAACCCTAAATGACACCCTACAGAAACCCTAAATGAAACCCTAAATGAAACGCTAAATGAACCCCTAAAGAAACCCTAAATGAAACCCTAAATGACACCCTACAGAAACCCTAAATGAAACCCTAAATGAAACGCTAAATGAACCCCTAAAGAAACCCTAAATGAAACCCTAAATGAAACCCTAAATGAAACCCTAAAGAAGCCGCAAAGAAACCCACATGAACGTTTGGAATTCCTGATAAGAACTCCTGATAAGATCTCCTTAAATGAAACCCTAAATGAAACCCAAACTGAACCCTAAACCTAAAGAAAGCCTAAATGAAAGCCTAAATGAAACCCTAAAGAAACCCTACATGAATCCCCAAATGAAACCCTAAATGAACCCTTTATATAATCTCTTCCACCTAATATCGCGTACCCCCTGAAAACCATGGTTTTGGTATTGGATCTATTCATCTATAGGTGTCCCCAAAATCGGGGTATTCAATATTACGGGGATGGGATGATTATCCAATTACAAACAATCATTTACAATCCTCTGGGTGCAATTCTGTTAGCAATGCAGGGGATCCTTCACCAGATGTTATTGGATACTTCCCCCCAAGGCCCTGCAGAACTTTTCCCGGGTACCAGGTCATAGAGGAAATGGACAGAACATTCATTTTCATAAATCCTTGGAAAAGATGCCAGAGTTTTTGGCTTTGAACCATTTTCAACCATGTTTATCCATGTTTAACATATCTTCATGTGGGGAATATCCAGTTCTGGATCAACTCAGCCTTTCAGATCTGTGGATCCGCAGGTATTGGGTTGCCTGGTCAAGTCATGGCAGCAGCCCCAGCAGTTTGCAAGTCCGGGAGGGTGTTGGCTCTGATGGCTACAAAGCTGTGCTCTCAGGCCGCGACTCTGGGGCCCACAACGACATGCGAAATTCTGTCTTGGGGGTTACTATCAATATGTGAAATGTGTGTGCGCATACACACGCACGTATATATATATATATACATGCATATTATGATATAATATACAAACAAACATAAAGAACATTAGATATGATATATTTATATACATACATATTATGATATAATATACACAAACAAACATAAAGAACATTAGATATGATATATATATATACATACATATTATGATATAATATACAAACAAACATAAAGAACATTAGATATGATATATTTATATACATACATATTATGATATAATATACACAAACAAACATAAAGAACATTAGATCTGATGTATATATATACATACATATTATGATATAATATACACAAACAAACATAAAGAACATTAGATATGATATATTTATATACATACATATTATGATATAATATACACAAACAAACATAAAGAACATTAGATATGATATATATATATACATACATATTATGATATAATCTACAAACAAACATAAAGAACATTAGATATGATATATATATATATACACATACATATTATGATATAATATACAAACAAACATAAAGAACATTAGATATGATATATTTATATACATACATATTATGATATAATATACAAACAAACATAAAGAACATTAGAAATGATATATATACATACATACATATTATGATATAATATACAAACAAACATAAAGAACATTAGATATGATATGATGCCTTAAGTTCGATGGTGATCCTCTTGCATCTTGCTCTCAAGTCAATGGTGGTCTGGTTGGAACGTTTTTGGGGGTATTTAGCCTTTGCCAACGAAGTCAGCCGCCTGGCCACTTGCCCTATCCATTGTCATCCGTCGTGCCTTCCTTGGCTGGTTTCTGGGTGTTTAATTGGATTTCTGTTGGCCATTTGCCTGGTTGCTGTCCTTGCTTTTCTGTGGATTTACCGGCTTGCTTTGCTCCGTTTCCTCACTGTCCCTGTCCCGTCTGGGCCACGTCCGCGCCTTGCCAGGTACCTTGAATGAGTTGTCCCCTCTCTTCTGCAGAGTTGAGGGAAATCATTTGCAAGCTGGAAAGGTTAGAGGTTTGGCAGAAGCAGCAAGAGACTGAAAGCAAAGCTAGTGGTTCGCAGTCAAAAGGATAAGGAAGAGGGGATCCAAAGGCTCGTGCAGCCGCCTTGCTATCAAAGACTGGCCCCCCTCCTGTGCCTGCCCTTGAGCATATTGCCACCAGGTGGAAGATCACTGAGGAAGAAGGTCCTCCCTTTTCCGGTCCAGAGTTCACTTCCATCGAGTCAGGACCTGGCCCACTGCCTCCTCTGGTAGAAGACCAGGCGGATTTTGTATCGTGGGATCAGAGAGAGGGTCTCCAGCGTGTGCATTTAGCATTTTCAGCCGGTTTCTGGGGTAGAGCGTCAGTTGAAACTTTCACGTGTCAGTTTCCTCCCTTCTCCCCATCTGAGAAGGACGAGCATTTCATCTGCCTCAGGGCGAGTGGATTTAGCAGCCCAGTTCGGTTTGAAGGCAAGGCAGATTTGGAAGCCTTCCGAGCCCAGGTTTTTGAAGGTGGACTGATTCTGTTTGGTTTCCAGACTCAGGTTGAGATCGACGTTTTTTGTCAGGGTGCACGAATTGCCGTCCCCCCAAAGATTGAGCAATGTTGAGCAAAAGTAGGGTCAAGCCTGCTAGCAAGGGTGAGCCGTCCCTTTTGGTCTTCACTCTTCCTGCAAGTGCCTCATCTCTAGGTGAGGATGTAGAAGTTTTTGCATTGCCCTTGGAATTCAGAGAGGGCGGAATGCTGCTCGCGCTGCCCCAAGATCTAGTTTCGTTACAGACCATTGAGGCTGGACAGGCAGGGGTCGAAGAAACTCTGTTTGGTCCCAGCACTAATTTTTCTGTTGAACTCCTCGAAGAGAATGAAGAGATGACCGAGACAATCAGCCTTGGTGTTGAAGCACAGGTCCTGGTCATTGATATGCATGATGATGTTCTGCTTGCATGTAGGGAGTACGATCCTGTGACAGATTCGACTGCCGCCATCATGGGTTTTTCAATAGATCATCCGCAAAGCCTTCCTGATGCCACAAAGCTGATGTCCCTTGTGAGTGAATGGCTCTTGCAGAGGTCAGACTATCGGACGGGTTTTTATACAGCTCAAGAGGACCTGTCTTCCCCGCCGAAGAGGACTACAGCAGCTGCAGCGGCCCCAAAGAAACAGGCCACTGCAAAAAGGGTATCAAATGCAGCCATCGCAGAGCAGTTGTCTTCTCTCATGGCACAAATGCAGCTGTTGGCGAAGAGGCAGGACAACCTGGAGAAAGGGAATGTCGCCTCTGCGGCTCCTGTACCAGGGCAGTTCTTTGGACCCACGGCCAAGTTGCCGGCCGTGTCAGCAGGGCTCCCAAAGCAGAGTGGGCTTTCTCAGACAGGAGTTGCAAAGGCTCTGACGTTGGTGGGCCCTCCGCCGAAGGTTCGACTGAGCCAGCCATTGGTCCCTGCGCAAGATGTGGCCGCCGACGAGCCTTACGATATGTTGCAGCCGGCAGAAGGAGAGGCACCAGATATCGCATCTGCGATTGCTCAGCAAAGCACGGCCATAACAGCACTGGTAGCCCATTTGGCTTCCCAATCCTCAGATGTCTTAGGAGATCTCAGTGCAGTAGGTCAGCCATCGAGTTCCACAAAAGGAGTACAAAGAAGGGAAAGGATGCAGAGCGAGTTAGCTTTGGGGACCCGTTCCTACTTTTTGCAGGTACAACAACAACTCCATCGGCGAATGTATCCCTCCCGGCCTGTACCTCAGACCGAAGCCGAGCTGCAGAACCTATCGGTACTTCAGTACCTGGAGAGGATGGGCGGTTACAAGAATCACCGCGAGCTGGGGCTGGTGGCCTGGATTTTGGGTCACGCAGTCGATGCGGCCGCAAATGGCAATTTCAAGCTCACCAAGGAGATCATTGCATTGCTTCTGGTGTCTGTAGAACAGGCTGCAGTGGACAGAGGAGATTGGACGTTGGCATTCATGCTCTCGCTCCTCGAGGAGCCCCCAATGCAGGTCTTTCAAGATCGCACCATGAGCATGGTACACCACACTCGGCCTTTTGGGCCACTAGTCCCCCCAGCATGGACAGCAGTTTGCTTGTCCTATCTGAAGGATCTGGAGGTCCTGTCGACGAAGAAGACAGAGACTGCAAAGAAAAATGTCAAAGCTCCTCCAGTGACAGACAATCCATCAACCTCTGCCGAACCAGACCGAGAAGCCAGCCCGAAGCGGAAGCCAAGGTTTCCAAAGAAGCCGAAGGCGAAATCCCCACAGGATGCATGAAGGGTGTTTCCCATGTCTCTTCTCGGCAGGCGCACGAAGTTGCTTCTAATGGGAATGGACTTTTAATTAATAGTGGAGTTCCTAGCCCCCATAAAAATAAAAAACCTAAAAAGAATTTTTGCATGCGGTGTGGCTCTGAAACTGGAAGTGGAGGTCCATGCAATGCCTGTGGATTTTTGCCTAGCTCTCCTGAGCCGCAGAGTTCGCCTGGGATCGGCGTTGACCATCTTTCATTTGGGAGGTGGTGCTCGCTTTTGACAGTCTCAGTCTTGCGCACAAGATCGCCTTTTGCCTCATTCCTTCTTGCTACTTTGCATCTGCAACGGAGTGATCAAGCTTCGTCCTCGTCAGCTTTTCCTTTGCCAATACCCTTTGCCGGAGTTTATGCAAAGATGCCTCCAGGTCTTTCAGCATGTCGCCGAAAGCGCATTCACTTCAGGCGTGCAGTTCATGTCGTTGTGATGGCACTTAACTTTTGGTGGAGCGGAAGCTGCTTCATTCCAATGGAGCATCTGGAGAGGGCCCCTTCGAAAAATCAGCGAGCTTTACTTCGCAGAATTTCGGGCCTCATGCTGGCTGACGGCCCTCTTGAGAGTTTTGAGGTTCTCAGGAGTGGCCGACGTTTCCCCCAGTTGATAGCTCGGCTTGCAGAGATTTCAGGGCTGGTTACAAAGCTTGGAATTGGTGCTGGGCCTTATGAACGGACGTATCCGGGGCATGATGTTCCTATGGATAGCAGCATGTTTCCTGAACTTGAGCCTTACCGATCCTTGGATGCGAGCAGACTCAAGGTTGTCGGAAAAGGGAATTTTGATGCCACTCCTTTTCTCAGCCCTGAACTTGCTATGGCTTATAAAGTTCCTGACACTTTGCTGAGTGACCGTTTGCCTGGTAGATGTGAATTCCCGCAGAAGCTTGACCCTTTGCCTGAAGTTCTTTCTCTTGCAAAGCTTTGGGATCTCAATGGCCTTTTGCATATCCATGATGTTGACCTTCAGAAGGAGAGAAGATTTGAGCTAGTTCGTGTTTTCAACTGCTTCAAGAATCTTACAAGCGATCGACAGATCGGCGATAGAAGGGGGAGGAATTCTGTAGAGAACCGCATTTGTGGGCCTTCTTCACAATTGCCTACTGGACCTGATCTCCTTGATATTCACTTGGATGCTCAGAAGGAAACCCTGTCCATTGTTTGTACAGACCGGCGTGATTTTTATCATCAGTTCCAGACCTCACAAAATCGCACCATGTCGAACACAGTAGGCCCCATGCTCCCCCTTGAACTCCTTAGGGATACTCAGGCCATGAAAGCCTATGCAGCCGCTTTGAACGTTAGGAAGCCCTCACGCTTGATTGCAGGTGATGGCCTTGGTTCCACAAGTCGGCAGAAGTTCGCCAGGTGTCCGAAAGGTTTTGGTATGGTGTCCTTCAAGAGCATATTTCAGGGAGATCATGCAGGAGTGGAGATTGCAACGTGTGCCCATGAAGAGCTTTTAAAGTCGGCAGGTCTTCTTAGTGAATCCTCCCGGGTGGTTTCAAATCAGCCTTTCACTGGCAGTAAGCTTTGCGAAGGTCTGGTGATAGATGACTACTTTGCCATTGCCGTTGTCCCTAAGGGGTTGCTTGTCCCTAGCCCTGCTGTCGAATG